CTTTGCATTTGCAGTCAGCGTCCTTCATACGACGTTCAGTGATGTCTCGTCCTTCGGCAGTTTTTCCAATTACGCAGAGGCATCCTAAAAAACTTTCAATCACATCGAATTTGTCAGAGATTCGAACGCTAATTGGTAGCTTGGGTTCAATTTTGGTTTTTTTATGGACTATATCTGTCCCTAAAGTTTTCAACCGCGGCAATGGGTCGCCTCCACAAAAAAATTGCTTTGTGGTTCAAATCTCACCCTTCGGCCGAGGGAAGCATCCCTCCTTCAATCCCTTGAACTTGTTGTGCAACTCATCCAGCACAGCTGCGTAGTTTGCCTGGGCACGTTCTCTAGAACACCATCAACACATTCATAACATCTTGTGACGGGCAGCTAATCAATATATTGATTACCTAACAGGATCGCGAACATTCTGACTCGGTTGATCGCGAGAACGGTACTTCTGTGCTGGTTGGTTAATAGTGGCAGGTTGTCGTTGAACAGTAGCTCCTACGTCACGCTTGGAACGCTGAAATTTCAAATTTTTTGAATTTTGCTTGATGAAGACGATAACAAAATTTCAGTAAACTTCATGAAGGCAAAAAAGGTGGTATACGGTAAAACTTACAATTTTGCACTGAGCTGCGTCGTTGTAGGCGGTAACGACCTCATTTCCTTGTGCGTCCTTTTCGTTGCATCTGCATCCACCAGTCGGCTTTGGGAAGCAGTTTTCCTAAAATTACCGAAAAATTTCAAAAAATTGACGAATAAATAGACAAATTTACCTTGAAATCTCCAAACTTCTCCTTGATTTCCTCATTCAACTGTTTCTTATTGTCCGCGGTTTGCCCTAAAATAGTAATTTGGAAATTTGAACAATGCTCAGAATTAGCATAACTTGACCAGGTAGCAAATTTATATTCTAATAACATGAGACTTACTTTCAATGCTTTTCTTACAATCGGCATCGCTGGAGAATTCCCTGGTTTCTTCTCCAAATCCCATATCAACATTGCACTTACAACCTCCAGACGGTTTTGGGAAGCAATTATCCTATAATGAGCAACTCTGAGAATCATGACTCCCGAATGGAAATGCCAAAGGCTAGAACATTTTTGAAACAACAGCGATTTTTTCAGATTGGGGAGGGATTAATCGGTGAGCCATGGCTT